TTTCTCTTGCTTTCTATATACATTAAGTGTGTTGAATTCTCCACGCCTTCTGTTACCATTATGCTTCCCAAAGAACAAAAAAGCAATCATAATGTTAAACGTAATGGTATGTAAAAAAAAGAAAGAGAGCAAGTTGTGGAGAGCCATGATCGTCCATAATTTGATAGTACGTGACAGAGAGAGATAAATTAAACAGCAATGCTGAAAAGAAGATATTAGCAACAGTAGTGAATAGGGGACAAAATGTGCATGTGTGTTGCGCGCGCACATGTTTATATGCGCACATGTCTGTGTGTGTGTGCGTTTGTATGCGTTTGCGTGTGTGTTTGTGCGTGTGGGTGCGAAGCCAGTTTCGTTGTCTGCGTAAATTCGTAAAAGCGTTTCTTACTCATCTACTAAAATGTGACATTCATAAAAGTCTGTCTGATAAAGTTGACGACGTTCAAATATTCAATCATGCACTTTCGCAAGAAGAGTTTTCTGTTATCTGCTGATAAAAAGTCAACCCCTCAAAAGTGCTTTTAGTTCGAGCCGTAGACGATTCTTCCAATTGAAGACAAATCCATGAGAAAAAGCAAAGAAACGGACAGTCGAAGGATCGCCACTTCACGATCAACATTATTACGCGCAATTGAATTAGAATTCAGATTACTTTTCTCTTAACCCATTAATGCCTACCGTCCCATTTTGGCGACGGTGGGAATAAATACATTATATTAAAAAAAAATCTACTAACACTAACGGACTTTTTATAAAGCCATAATTAATACTGTATTTTTGAATAAAAACTATACTTTATACTGGATTATTAAAGACACCAATTATTAATAACGGATTTTATTATTTAAAATTTTTAGCTTTAGAGAAAATGGAAACAAAAAGAACATTTACACTTAAAAAAAGTGTAATTTCTGAGGCACATGGAGAGGAAAGAGTGCTTGGAAAATTTAATACTCACAGGACAGATTGAAAGCAAGAGTAAATAATAAAATAATTAACATACCTAACACGCTTGAGTAAATGGATGACGGAACAAGTTTTAGGAGAAATAAAAAAAATGATAAAATTTATTAAGAGCTAAAAAGGACAGGAAATTGTGAAGAGCCATGATTGTCCAACGTTTTGAAAGGACGCTGCTCATAGAGCAAGAAGAGCTATACTTGATTTTATCTTGGACATCAATGGGTTAAACAGGCTACTATTAGTTAATCCATAACTGGGAAGATAAATTTGTTGGATTCATGCCTTTCCTCGAAGTGAACACAAAAATAAAAAAACAAAAACAAGGCCGAACTTTGAAATCAATTTGCTGATTACACATACCTGGCCGATAACCGTTTCGCGACCTACACATCGTGTAAGGAAACGTGCCTGTAATCTATAGTCATTTTCCAAGCGTAGCTTAGATGTGGCACAAGGCCGAAAGTATGGGATCGTCACTATTCAGTCGCAATTGGCTAGAAAGTATAGGACACCCCGAGGTGAGGATCGAAGTCACTATTCAGTGAGATGGAACTGACTCTTCTAGCAAGACAAACTTGCTAACCATTACACGCCCTTGCCTATATTAATAGCAAGTTGGGCACCTCGACGTGGTGTAATGGTTAGAAAACTTGTCTTGCTTGATCAATTGCGACTGAGTAGTGAGTTCGATCCTCACTGGGTGCCCCATACTTTCGGCTTTGTGCCACATCTAAGCTGAGTTTAGAAAATCACTATATTAATAGCAAATTCTGTCTACCTTATTCGTGCTTCTTTATTTTAAGAGTTAATTAAAAATCGTGGACGGAGGGCCGAAGTTACTGTTAATTCTGCATCTTTCCGTTTGAGGAAAATTTGACGTTTTGATATTCTACCTTAATATGTGGCAAAAATTAATACCGTCGTAAAAAAAGGATATTTCTATGATTTCTATGCCATGCATATAAACGTATTTCTCTACAAAAAAAAAAAAAAACAGCTAAATCTTTACCATTTTTGAAATCATCAAAAACGGATATATCAAAATATTGTGATATCTAAAAGTTTTTATTATGAAAATATTAAAAACTTACTATGACACACTAAGAAGGAAAACGGCAAAAAATCGTCGAGTAAAGCGAGGAGAAAAGGATGATTTATTAATTGTATGACAGACTATATGGTCGTCAACAACAGATAAGATCCGAATTAGCGACATCAGTATAACAGATGTCTCATTAATTACCATTCTTGCTCGTTCTATTTTTCATTTCTTTTCCTCCACCTTGCACTAGATCTCTTTTTCCTCCTTTGCCTTCCTTTTCTCTTCTCGCTATATCTCTCTTCCTTTTCCCTTCTCGCTATATCTCTCTTCCTTTTTCCCTTCTCGCTATATCTCTCTTTCTTTTTGTCTTCTCGTTATATCTCTCTTCCTTTTCTCTTCTCGCTATATCTCTCTTCCTTTTCTCTTCTCGCTATATCTCTCTTCCTTTTCTCTTCTCGCTATATCTCTCTTCCTTTTCTCGTCTCGTTATATCTCTCTTCCTTTTCTCTTCTCGCTATATCTCTCTCTTCCCTATAGCTTATTTTTTCCTCTCACTATCTCTATTATCTCTTCTCATTCTATCTCTCTTTTTTACGTTGTATCTTTCTATTCTCATATCAATATATATTCCTTTTCTCATATATATATATATATATATATATATATATATATATTTGGGTTTAGATTTTTAAATTGTTGTTTTATCCCCCCCCCCTACAAACAAGAATTTGCATATGGAGACAAGTTAGGAGTTCATGCAGATTCTGATGTATTATGGTGGATATAGTAAGAATGGTAAGAAAGTGTTTTTTTGTATAAGGAATATTGTGGTATATTTGGGTCAGTAATTGTGGCTAGAAGAAGATCATCCTTTCCTCATTCCCCTTTTGGCTTTGTGCCACATCTTTGTATTTATACAGAAAAAATATCGCAGTTCAATATGGCGCTTAGACTATTTAATGACACAGTACTGATAGAAGACACGTTAAAGAAATTACAAAATCTCGTACAGACGATAGTGACGGAGAGTGAGAAAAAGGACTAAGCATAAACTACAAGAAGACAGAATTCATGGTCATCTGTAAGAGGATGAGCCGAAATGCAATTTGAAGGTCGGGAACACTAGAATCAAGCAGTAGTTTAAATATCTTGGATGTGTCTTAAGAGAGGACGGTAAGTGCGACACTGAGATCCATACACGTATTGGGATTATCAAGGACACATTAAAAAAGCTGGGCAGTGTACTGGGAAACAGGAGGATTTCTTTGGTAACAAAGAATACTGAGCTGTTACGTGACATCTGTCCTTCTTTACGGCAGCGAATGTTGGACGATTTCCTCAAAGATGAAGAAGAGACTCGAGTCGATGTAGATGTGTTTCTACAGAAACTAAGTATATCATGAACCGAGCGTGTGAGTAACGATGAAGTCTTAGAGAGGTTGCATGCAAGAAGGAAACTTATACTTAATATCAGGAAGAGGCAGCTGAAGTTTCTGGGACACATAATGAGGAAGGAGGGTCTGGGGAATCTGATACTCACGGGTCGAATAGAGGGAAAGAGAGACAAGGGAAAAAACGCGTGACATACATGGCGGACTTAAGCAAGTGGATGAGAGAACGTGGTCTGGGGGAGGAAACAGAAGGAAGGAACTTGTTGAGAGCTGTAAGGGATAGAGGAAGGTGGAGAGCCACGATCACCTACGTCCTGAAAGGACACGTCACATAAACAGAAAAGAATAGACTAGCGACGTTTTCGCGCCAATTTACAGTTTTGTTGGCAGGATGTAATCGTAAATTCTATGCTAACAGTTCTTTTTCTAACACTTCTCGATTCCGGAAATCCTTTCCGGATCCATATTTTCCAGTCAACCTTAATCTGCAAAATTTTAAATGCAATGGCAATGGCTGTCTACTGTCTTTCTGATTACTCTTCTTTTGTTCTCTTTCCTTAGGAATGTTCCTGTTGATTATTCACTCCGTCCGTTGAATTCCCAGCATCCCTTTGTTGAAACACATTTCCGTTCGCTCAAGTTTTCTTTTCGCCTGTGGGGAGACTGTCCAGCATCCACTGCCATGCAAAAAGGAGTGATATAACAGCAATGCGACACTCGTTTATTTGTTTTTAAAGATATTTTCCTGCTTTATGAGAATAATATATCCGTGATATATATGTGTGTGTGTGTGTGTATAGACACGGATATATTCGGATATATTATTCAAAACAAATGAGTGAATATGAGTTTTTTTTTTTGTTTTATTTGGTTTTGAAAAATTTTTCAGCAACGGGACAAGCATTTTTCACCACCTTATTGTCATAATCCTGTCAGGGATATACGCTTAGGCGATCATGTATCTTTCGATACATGACTGACGAAGCAGATTTTTTCCCGCAGTAGGTTACCATTTCGTTCTGCGGTAGAGCAATTGCCATCGAAGGCAATAAAACCCGGTCCATCCTGCTATTTACCCATCGCTAGGCGGGGGAGAAGAGAAATCATACCTTTCCCAAGGGTATTAGCACGTGAGTGAATATAATGGATTCGACCGAAATTCGAACTTGGTTCTCCGATTTCTCAATCCAAGCCGTTATCTATAATCCTGTCAATATTCTTATTTTCCTATGATTTACCATTAACTGATTTAAAAACCTCCTCAGGAGCATCAAAGTAAGTTTTGTTCCTAACATTTGTGAAAAAACATTATTCGTTAAATGTAATTCTTTTAAAGTGGGTATCTGCAGTTTTAATAACATGAGTGTATTTGAAACATGGGACGGTTACTTAGCCTGAGAGATTATATTCAGTAAGACACAAAATGTTCTGGGCAGAATGGAGAATTATTGTTTTCTAAATGTTTTACTTAAAATTTCTTTTAACATATTAACTCAGATGGAATATTGTAGGCTTAAAAAATTGAAAGAAATGAACTGGGTTTGTATCTCTCTTTGGTCTCTCGTGTAATCCAAAGCTCTGTGAACCGCGTACGTTTCTATCATATTGAAACATCCGTTCTCGTACGATCACCGAAGTTAAGCAACGTCGAGCCTAGGCAGTACCTAAATGGGTGACCGCTTGGGAATGCCAGGTGCTGTAAAGTTGGATGTGCGTGTGGTGTAACGGATAATGGCTGGGAATTGTTAATCGGAGAGCCGAGTTCCAATTCCAGTTGGGTCTGTTATATTCATTTACGTGCAAATACTCTAAAGCATCAATCCATTTCTTCTACCCCTATTTATGGGTTAATTAGTAAGGCTGTAATCACTAAACCATGACTATCTTCCGAAAATATTTTCCGTCTTTAAATAACCTGTAAAAGGTTGATAAACCGTAAAAAAAACAACTAATATACCTTTCTGTTCTTGCTTAATTCCGACCTGTGTGTCCTCATTTGACCTGAGTGTGTGTCTATCTTTATAATTCTAGTATAAACCAAATCTGTGTCTTCTATTTTGTTTCGAATGTAAACCATGTTTGTGTTTACCTTTAGGACTCTAGTGTATACCGGAACACAGTATACCATTTTCGCTCTCGTATAAACTGAAAATATGTATCTCATTTTGACCTGAGTGTAAACCAGTCTGGAGTCTACCATTAAGATCCTAGTGTAAACAGAACCCCCGTCTACCTTTTTTTCAGACGTGAAGACTAAACATGTGTCTTCTATCTTAACCTGAGTGTATGACTATTCTATCCCATTTTGACCAAAATGAAAACCGAGCTAATGTTTCCCATTTTGACCAAAGTGTAAATCGGGCTTTTGTCTACCTTTATGACTATAGTTTTTATGAATAATCAAGAGTGGTCTCCCCTCGTTTTGTTACTCTTCTTTTAATGTTTACTGAAACTATAAAAGTATTGTATTCTCAGTTGAATAAAGCTTTGTTAAAGCCTACACCTTCGTACTTTTGTCATTACAATAGTATAAACCGAACCTGCGTATCACTTTTTTGACTGTTTAACTCATCGTGATTTTTGCCCCGTAAAAACTGTAATCACCATTAAATAACCCAACAAATATTATTTTCTTAAATGAGCAAAGCTTACCTTTTCCGGAAGTCAGTAAAGCAAAGCAGTAATAGACATCATTTCTGCTATAATATCTGACAGTTTGAATTAAAATTTATGTTGGCAAATACCTACATTCGGTTTTTATGCTATTTACTTAAAATTAGAAAAAGTAAGAAGGCTCTATTGTTATGAAACACAACGATGTCTAACTCGTTGATACTGGTGTAAACTAAACTTGTGTCTAACTTTTATATAATCTAGTGTAAAGTGGACCTATGTCTAACATTTCGTTAATTTCTTGTGATTTTTTGTACTATAAGATTTGCCAAAGATATTAAATAACCCAGTAAGTGTTGACATATCGTTAACTTAATCAAACTGACTTAATCACATCTCCTTTTAGGGAAGTTAGTCACGCGAGCAAGAAATACACACAGACTCTTCAATATATCTGAAGTCTTTAATTTTTTGCTCTAGTAATTTTCTGTACTCAGTATATCAGGCGCTTTAATAAGAGTCTTACAGCCATATCACGTTGAAATACCGGTTCTCGTACGATCACCGAAGTTAAGCAACGTTGAGTTTGGTGGGTACTGATATGGGTGAGAGCTTAGGCATAATAGGTGCTATAAGGTGTAAGGTGGTATAATGGGTAACGGCTCGGAATTGAAAATCGGAGAGCCGGGTTCCGATTCCCGTCCGGGTAGTTCTATTCACTTACGCGCAAATTCCCCAGTAAAGGCACGAAATCACTTCTTCCCTCAGATATGGGTTAATTAGTAGAACTTGTATCAGTAAAAAATATTATTATTATTTCCCAAAACTTCATAAAATCTAACAATATTTCTGCCTTTAAATAACCTGCAATAGGATGATAAACCGTAAAAAACAAATCATTCTATCATTAAATAAGAAAGAATGAAAGGATCTGCAATCCTGAAGTATGTCAGAGTTTCTGAAAAACTTTACTATTATAGTTATAATTTCTCTAAATATGTAATATATAATACGCTTGAAAATCATTATGCGTCGAATATACATTGTCAGATATTGATACCTATAAATATATAGTCAGTTAATAACTATATAGTCACTTATAAATATATAGTCAGATAATCGACTATATAAGTACATGGAAAAAAGAATGTTTCTGTTTGAATTGCTGGGATGAGGAGTTATTTTTATTGAATATTTCTTTGACTCAAAGGTAATCAAAGTCGTTCCTGCTGTAAGTGTTGCGAAACACGCCTAGTCTCGCGTCTCAATTTTAAACAGGGATCAAATAATAGAGAGAAGTGCGCGCGTCTATTCCCCTAATGTCCTTCTCAAAAAATAAAGATGGAAAAAAGGAAGAGAAGGCAGATCTTAAATAACAAAGAGCAGGCCTGTGCATCCCACCCTTACGGTAAGAAAAGGCCACAAAATCAGTGCCTTAGAGAAACCTCGCTTTGATGAACCAGAACCCGCCAATCACTTAGTCTTCACGTCCGATAGCTGCCCCATAAGCGCAGGTAATTTTACTTATTATTCCGCACTATGAACATTCTGACTATTGACTTTTTTTATGTTGTTGCTACAAGAGAGGGCACCGCGGCCAAAATATGAAGTTTGTCGTCCGAATGTACTTAATGTAAATAAAAGTAAAAAGAGTGGTTAACACTGCATAAAGATTAGTGAGAGGAAGACAATAGAATAGGTTTATTACATAAAGATTTAAAACAGCAGTAATCAGCTTACTTTCAAAATTACCGTTAGTTTCAAATAACTGGAGCACATAATGAGGAAGGAGGGCATGGAAAACCTGATACACACAGGGCAATTTGAAGGAAAGAGTGACAGAAGAAAGCAGCGTGTAACTTACTTGATGAGCTGGAGTAAATGGTTGGCAGAACAGATTTTGGGAGAAATAACAAAAAGACAAAATGAGACGAGATGATGATGTTGCGTAAGTGTTAACTTAAATTCCCCCAAACGCAAATACACCTTGGAAAGTATCACATACTAGAGTCAAATTTAAAAGTGACCATTACGGTATAATTTAGCGAATGTTGAACAATCTCCTCAAAGATGAAGAGCTTGAAGCAACAGAAATGAAGATGAAGAAAAAACTTGAAGCAATAGGAAAAGGTTGAGGCTACCGTGGGCCGAACATGTGAGCAACGGCAAAATTTTGGAGAAAATGGAAACAAAAAGTAAAACTATATTTAAAATCAGGAAAAAGCAGTTGAAATATCTGGAGCACGTAATGAGAAAGGAGGGCTTGGAAAACCTGATACACACAGGACAGATTGAGGAAAAGAAGAACAGAGGAAAGCAGCGCGTAAGATATGTTATGAGCTTGAGTAAATGGATGGCAGAATAGGGTTTGGGAGAAATAACAAAAAAAAGATTTATTAAGAGCTACAAGGGATGGGATGATGTGGAGGGCCATGATTATTCACTTAGCCTCAGTTTACCTTATTTTATTCTAGTGTAAAGTGGACCTATGTGGATTTTTTTACCTCGAGTGTCCCCGATCCCATGCCTACTTTTTGACTGCAGTTTAAAACCCATTCTATGACTTATTTCCATTAAACCGTTGTAAAGTTGCAGATAAGACATATATTCGACATCAGATAACCCAACAAGTATTGATATGTCGTTAAATTAGCCAAGCCAATCTTACGTCATCTTCATTTTAGAAAGACTTTACAGAAATGCAGAACTAATGACCGACTCAGTGGTGAGGTAGATTCGCAAGATACGAAACTACTGACTCACTCTAAAAATATCCTCGGCCATGACAGGCACAGAAATGCGAAAAGCTTACCTCTGCGAATCAGATAAAAGATGTCGTTCAGTATCCTTAGAAGGTTATTGAAAATAATACACCTGAGGATAGTCAAATAGTAAAGTGGCAGACAATTTGTTATAAAACCATTTACGACCAGGAAACGGGTCCGAACGAATTAATATACAGGGTGTTTCAAAAAATTTGATATCATTTCGCAATCTAATAACTTTGTTAGATCTCCTTCAAATGACTTCAAATTTTAATAGCATCTTTATGTTTAATGTTTGTTTTATGTTTTATGTCTTTATGTTTTGTGTTTTTCTTATTTGTATTTTTATGTTCTTTAATCTTTTAATCTTTTTCTTTACAGGTATAAAAATGCTATTTACTAGAAGAGAAAAGGCGTTTTTTGTGTGTTGAGTTTGCTAGAACACAGTCAAACGAGACTGTGCAGCGTGCATTTATGAGAGAGTTCTCTAGAAAAGTCACCAACAGGAATGCAGATTTGGAGATGGCATAAAAAGTTCAAAGAGGAAGGCTGTCTGTGCAGAGCAAAAGGATCCGGACGACCACAAACTTCACATTTGTGAAATCGTTCACATAATCTACATGCTTTTGAATTTCTCATTCAGATTTGGAAGAATAAATCTTATGATCTTCAACATTAATACTTTTTAATTTCATTTGCCTTAATCATGTACTTTCTGTGATATTTACATCTCAAAGGATATCAAATTTTTTAAAACACCCTGTATAAGAGACAAAAAATAAATTTGTCGTATTGCTTATTTTTAATTGTAATAATCAAATATCAATTTGTCGCTCAATGACGACTCAAGAACGTTTTCTTGTATCAATGCCAGCTGACTCTTCACTTTTAATAATATTCTAATCTTGCATCGTCTGTTAAAATTAAAAATAGATATTATCCCGTTTGATGTACATTTTCATGAGAGTCCGAAACAGACATGTCGTCTTTATATGAGGGCGGCCTTAGTAGTATCTGTCGTAGTTACAGATATTTATCAGACATTCAACATAACAAAAAATAAAAGCGGCTAGGAAAAACGTAATACCCTTATAGTTTGTAGATCAAAGTGTACAAATTAATCATATGCCTTCTCCCCGACCCTGAAAAAGAAAGCGAATATAACAAACATATTTCTTTACTCACAAATCCACCATGTAATTTAGAAGAGGTTGTTTTTTTCCCACGTATCAGGATAGAATATTTCACGGCGTCTACCCCCAAACTGCCCGCAGTTCAAACTCTGTTTTAATGACTGACTTTTAAGGGTTACATGACCACCCAAGTACCATGCATACTAATTGGGGAAGAGGAAGAGTTGTCCATCTCCTAGACTGGTTACCAACCAAGGGAAGAAAACTCAATCTACCCTGACATTTAATATATTGCTGAGTGGGAGAGAAGAGACGTTGACAACGTATTTACAGATGATATTTGTGAGCATCCAAATTCTTGCCATATACAGACGAATGGTCAAAAGTATCGAATTCTTCAGTAGGTTAGGCAGCCCGCGAAAAACCAACTTTGGCAGTACTGTCCTGTGTTAGCCACATCACAATTTCCTTTTGCCTTACGTTCAGTATAGGGGGTATTTAAATCAAACACATGGCACAAGGGGAACGAATCAAGAGGATTCGTGAAGAATAATGTCCAACAAAGCATCATAGTGACCTCTCGCGCAACGTGAGACATTTTTACGAAAACGACGATGAACAGAGCGGAACAGGCATGGACGGACGAACGAATGAACGAATGAATTGACGCACGAACGCATATGCGCATCAACGGGGAGAGAAGGCGTAGGAACGGGCGGACGGACTGTTGAGCGAGCTGACTATACAGAACAACAAAAAATGCATGAATGTTCTGACTTGCGATTGGAAAAGTTTGATCGGCAGTAACACACCTGCACACACGAATGGATGAACGATACTGTACTTTACCTGCAGGCTGGAAGCACGACGTAGGACACCGAAAACGACTAAGACAGCGAAGACAATGCAGAAGTATTACGAGGTTGGCGGGTAGAAAAAGATCGAATCTTTAGGCAATTACGAGATAAGATAAGCCAGAAAAACAAAAAAATGCGCAAGCAGCCGTGAAAAAAAAGCTAACGGCCTGCATCCTCCGACGAGACCGAATGATATGAAGACAGAAGGAACCTTTTCAACGTACCATCGTGATTATAGAACTCTAGACGCCGACCGGACCGAACGAAACAATCCCAAAAATGAACGCAGCAGCAAATCCCACTCTTTATGCTAATAACTGTTGCGCTATGCGTACACCCATAATGGAACAGAGACATTCAATGAATGGTCCAAATTGACACACCTACGAGCTAAGATGTCAGGCGATAAAAGAGCTGGTTTTCATACTTGCACGCGATATTTTTAGTTTTAAAATATGTTCAGTCTCGCTCGTGCCAGTTTTGTTTTATAAAAAATTCACTGATGCATAAGACAGTTGTTGTAATAGAATTTAAAATACCTGTAACATACATTTTCAGAATGCTGGATGAAATTATTATTTGAATTTTTGAGTCGTCGACTGATGGTTAAATGCACAATATAATATCGCTATAAATAACTGCATTTTCCTGGAGCCATGCTGAATGAGAAAAATCTGAAAGCTATTTGTGTATAGTTTAAATCGATTAATAATTTCGAAAATAACTCATCTTACCATATTTGCCAGAATTTTACAGGAATTATGGAGATTTTCTTTTGTGTCCCAAAATAATGTTCTAGTAATATAGTTATTGATTTTTATTTTACATGTAATCCGTAAAAGTGTAGGGAAACAATAGATGCTAATGAGTCTTTTCA